TTTATTTCAATAGGAGTCATGGCTTCGAAAGAATTACCTTATTGATTTCAAACATCACTTTATGAGTCATTTTCCATATGCCTTAAAAGAAATAACCAAACACAGAAGGAAAGATATGAACAAAAGGTATTGTGATCCCCAGTCTTATATACTTGAAAAACTGTACAATCTGAAACTATTGGAAATAACTAGACTCAATCTGAAACTTTTTACACTGTGAGGTGTTTATAATCTAGATTTTGTGAAAATAAAAATAGCAAATAGTATGGTTGATCGTGAGCATGTCACTTTTTAGGACTAACAGCCTGGCATTGTGGCGGTTTCCTGTAATCCCAGCACATGGGAGGCTGCGGCAGGAGGATCACTGCAGCCTATGTAGTGAGACTTTCAAAAACAACAACCTAAAAATCTTAGGACTGACACATTTTTGATGTTTTACAATCTAAAATCCTCACTGTACCTATAACACTTGGTTGGTAGGTACAGTGAGAATTTTGTGCTAAATAAATACATCAAATTATATAAATAGGAAACATATTTCACAAAGTTTGTTGGTGCTTTCACACTAAGAAGGCTTTCTTATAAAATTCTTTGCTTTGCTTTGCTTTGCTTTGCTTTACTTTTCTTTTTTTTGTACCAGGGATCAAACTCAGTACCTTGTGCTTGGCCAGACAGGCATTTATGTCATTGAGATATCTCCCTGGCCAAATTATATATATACGAATTGTGTAAATTACTGAGGCATATGGCTTAGTTAGCTGAGATACTAAATCTCTAAGAGAATATTTTTATAGTTACCTCATTCTCTCATTTATATACAGTGAAACTGGTAATGAAACCATTATCAAGTATCTGGAAGGAAGAGAGATAATTAGACAACAATCACAAAGAAGGTGATAGAGTATACAATGGAGTTAAGAAAAAATAAACCTGGAAAGTATGTAAAATACATACCATAAGTGAGAGTAGATAAATATAAGAATGAGTTGTGTAGTAAATTTTCTTTTTTGTTATTTTACTTATGTTTTTTTTT